AACCTAAGAAGCGATGGCCTCCAACCTACTAGTGATGGCCTCCAACCGAAGAAGCGACAGCCTCCAACCTACTAGTCCTCCAACCTAAGAAGCGATGCCCTCAAACCTACTACTAGTGGTGGCCTCCAACCTAAGAAGCGATGGCCTCCAACCTACTACTAGTGATGGCCTCCAACCTAAGAAGTGGTGGCCCCCAACCTACTAGTGATGGACTCCCACCTAAGAAGCTCCAACCTACTAGTCGCGATGGCCTCCACCCTACTACAAGTGATGGCCTCCAACCTAAGAAGCGATGGCCTCCAACCTACTACTAGTGATGGCCTCCAACCTAAGAAGTGGTGGCCCCCAACCTACTAGTGATGGACTCCAACCTAAGAAGCTCCAACCTACTAGTCGCGATGGCCTCCACCCTACTACAAGTGATGGCCTCCAACCTAAGAAGTGATGGCCTCCAACCTAAGAAGTGATGGCCTCCAACCTACTAGTGATGGCCTCCAAGCCAGGAGAAAAAACACTCCACAAAGGAGTGATCTGGTTGATCCATGTTCATCCCAGCCTTGTTTCGCATGTCCAGGGCGATTGGGCAAAGCAGCACTGAATGCCTCAATCTTGCTGGGTCGGAACAGGTCTTTGCCGATGATTTAAATTAATAGCTTCTTGTTACTACTAGTAAGGCACCTGTTACTACTAGCGTGGCACTTGTTACTAGTAGTAACAAGAAGCTACTATAGAGTTCTTCATCTGCCTTTCAGCAGCTTGCTGGAGCTCCTTTTTCCCGAAGCCCTTGACGACTGCCGACTGGGACAAGTCTTTGCACCCGGCAAGGCGGGCGTGTTCATCCTCCCTGTCGGAGGAGTATTTGCCACTTTGGGCACACGAGACCTTGGACCTCAGTGGACCCTCGACCCTCAACGACCAAAATCTCCGACTCAAAGCTCATCCTGCGCAACGAGATTCGGGAGAGTTTGGAGCCGAAGGAACCCAGCCCAGTTTTCCATCCTAGAGATGGCCTCCAACCTATTCATGTTCTTTTCCCCAAAACTCAGAACGGACGTGCCTGTTCGGACATCTTCTTGAGAAGGTTAATGCGCGACCTTGTCATTGGACTCCAACAAGCGACCAATGGTCTAATGGAAATACCTAATATAGCGATGGCCTCCAACCCAATACTGTAGCTCCAGATGCCATCCAAGTCACATCAGCCAATTTCTGTTGTCTTCCTTCATCTCATTGCCAGTCATTCCCTGTAGCCTTTTCAGCTCAGCCTGAGACACGTCTCAATGCCAAGAACCGGTGTCGGGGTCTGAAAAAGTGTCTGCCATTTCGTCAGCTTCTGGTCACTCCTATTCAATCTCAAGAACCCCTATTCACTCCTATTAGGTTGGATGGCAGTACTCAGCACAGCACCGACCCGCCTTCCGCTTCTCCGCAGTTCCGGCCTTTTGTTTCTCCACATATTTCTTGGCTTTGTCGCTGCAGCCTGCGCAAAGGATACTCTACCATAGATATCCATTGATCGTAATAAGCCTTATCATGATCAATGGATATCAAGAAGCTAGTAGTAACAAGTGCAGCGCTTCTAGTAACAAGTG